CAAAAAAAAGAAACATGAACATTTCATGTTGGTTAAAGTTATAAATGATATTACCATTTGTACATTTTATTGGCACAATTAATCAATAAGAAAGTGATTTACAGTTTGAGAAGTTTAATACTTTCAATAGTAAACGAATGATTCAAATCTAATAAGCGAATGATTTAACCCGTTCAAAAATCTATAGTCTTAGTTTGTTGAAATCTATCAACAGAAAATCATACAATTAAATCTTATTCACATTAATGTACATTGAAAAGTCCATTTGAAACTTAATTAATTAAACATAAGATTCCAATAAGTTAGTTTTATTTAAAGTTGATTTATCTCTGATTATGAACTACTAGAATTTTGTAATAATTTAGCCATGTAGTTATATTCTAGACACTATTCATGATGAATTAAAACATAATTTGATTATAGAGTAAATTAATCAGTTTTATTCACTGACGAATTGTTAGGATGGCCTAAGGGTGAAGTCGACGAAACTTTGCATCGAATCACTTTTTGAAAGAACATCCGAGAATCTCGGTATGTAGATTCCCTATTGGACAAATGCTAAAGATCACTGTATGCGGATTGAATGACTATGATGATGATTTTGGTTTTACTAAAAACTATAAATACCTGAGAGTTTTATATCATATTTGACACTGATTAGAATAGGATTCCTTCTCATTGGCGACTTGGAGGGTTCTAGCGTTTGAGTGCTCATGTTGTACGCGATATATCAAGACTCTAAGCTCTAGAGATAACATAAATAATACAAAAATAATTAAAATATATCTTCTTTAGTCTTTATATTGAAAGTATCAATGAACATTAGAAATTTAATTTTAAACTTTCTTGATCCATACGTCAAACAAAAAAGTAGTACTGTGCATTTTTTGTTTTCCTTCAAGTTATATACGTGTTTTGTGTCACTAGTTCGTAATTTTGTTCAGAAACCCATCAGTATGAATTAAAATAATAAAGTTATGTAAACAAAAAACTGGAAGTACAATTTAATTGTTATAACTTGTGACCGGTGCGGCCTGTTAATGTATACGTATTGATACCACCAATTAGAGAGCAGTGAAATATCGATCGGACCAATGACGCCTAAAACCCGTACGAGCAGTCTAGAGTCCTGCTTTCCGCCTAGCTCAGCCAGTTATGTCCAAAACACCAATTCGAGCCTCTGCGATATGAATCATTTATTTCAAAAATACTAGCTTTATATACCAACCAGACAGACCACACCGCACCATAAAGTATGAAACAACATTTGTGCGCGAGTCAGCCAAATGTGACTGTAAATAAGGAGGTAGTGATTAATAGACAGGGAATAATTCAAGAATGGTGAATCGTATAATAATAGTTCGCAGGTCATCATAAAGCTCATAATAAGAGAGACATGAATATGTATAGTTTAGTTACATAACAATTATACGATAAAATATATGTATAGTATTGGTCCACAAATGGATCCCAAAGTTACCATTCATTATGCTTATCGGGACATAACATTAACATCCCGACATATCATAGATTCATGTGTCGTTTAAAATTTTTATAAACTGGAAATTTGAACGATTCAATCAACTACTGACAATAAGACTTAGTAAATAGGTGTGAAATATTTTTCTCAGTTATGTTAATTTATATAAATTTTAATGAAAATCTGATATAACTTAAAAGTATTGAACCTTATCCATGTGTTGTAACTTCTTGATCCATTATTATTTTGTCGAGGATGTTAGATCCCTAGAACTCACTTGGAGAAGATCCTAATTTTGTAATTTTATTCTGGAAATTTGAATTTTATGTTTTCGCACAAAGAAACGCTTAGTTGACATACAGCTTACACTTCGCACTCGGAAATCCTTGGCTGTCATTGGTTGATGGAATATTTTTTATTACGCTATTTTGTGTCTCTCCCAAGGGTGTTTCTATCTTTGTATAAATAAGCTTGATTTGTATGCTTAGTGACCTCGTATTTTCTGGGTGCTTGTAGAATACATTCTCTACGCCTCATCAAGACTTATTGGTCTAGTTAGGAGGGCCGAGGACAACGGATTAGAATAGCCTGTCGTGTCACTGTATCTTTGACCTTCGTTCCGTTTACCGAGTAAGGTGAACCCGTAATAGTATCTAAGCATATCATATTTATTTATTGATAAAACAATTACGACAGCGATTTGAAGGTTATGACTTAATAAACAAAACATTTGTAAATGATTTTAGTCGTGTTTAATCACACATTTTCAGAAAAATGTTTATGTGGCACAGTTATGACAATAGTTTACCAAAATAATGATGAACTGTTTGTTAATATGTACCGAATATTAACTACTCAAGTATTTATCTAAAGAGTGAATAAAAATTTGACATCAATTCAAATAGGGTTGTACATAATAAACAGAATGGTGATAATGCACATTATTCGTAGATTGGATCATTTAATGATAATCATTAGAATACATTTAAGACTACTGATATTACATAAATCCGATATCAGTCTTGTTCCAAATTCTCTGAAGTGTTTTATTCGGTAAATGAAATCCAGTGTACATCTGTCTTCAAAATCTCGATTGTTCCTACTGCTTCACAACAGACCGTTTCTTATTTCTACCTTAATTTATCATTGTCATACCCCAGTCATTTGTTAAAAGACAGGCACCATGAGATTGCAAAAGTAACTCTATATCCCCATTCTACTCATGACATATCATTTGATCATATAAGCGTATAGACTTAAAATACTAAAAACTAACAGTTGATACTCTTTAGTACAAATATATCATCGCCTAGTTAATACAATTTATATTTTTAAACTAAGAAGTTTCATAAATACTTCAATGTTTAACAACTTATCATTCACTATTCGACATTAATTTATTACAAACTGGCATACATATAGCAACAATACACAGATAACACTAATTTACTATTCATATTCATGAGAGTCTAGCTAGATACTGTGTATTATTGTCCCATACTCAACAAAGATATCATTTATTACCATTTCATCAACGTATTAAATTTAGCTGAAGTGACGACTAGATTGTTGGATAAATCATGCAACTGGTAAAATCTCTTGATCTTGAGATAAGGATTAGATACTGAAGTCAGTAAAACAACTGAATGAACATTAGAGTACTTTCATCAAAATACAGAGATTAGTATTTTTCTTGAGCTTCAGATATCACTATCATTTTGACTACACTTTAAACATAATTTTCTCTAATTTACTTTCATTCATAAACTCGTCAGCTGATTATTACTGGATTACTGTGGCCAGCAAAGCCATCGAGCTTGATATGACGTATTCATTGAGCGCTTAGTCGCAGATCGCAATAAAGAGAAACAAACTGAAAGGTTTTAAGTTCAACATTATAATGTAAATGTTCAAATTGTCAGAAATAAAACAAAATATTAAAATGAGCTCAAAAAATCAGCGAATGGAGAAAATGAGAGCATGAAAATACAAAACACTCAATGTTCAGAGGTGGATCAAATGTATCTATATCACTGTGATTTATTGTAACTTTTCCCAACTAATAACACTAATCACTGATTCCAAACACATGTCAAGACAAAGTAATTTAGAGTTGCGTAAATGAATCAAACCACTATTCACTGGCTCTACGTACCAGTATTATATTGTGCATAATATTGTGACTTCTCATTCACTTCCACCTCGAAATATATAGATACTTAACGATTCACTATATATAAAACATGTCTCACTAGCTCTAATTAATAACGATAGACAACCAAAACCTGCTTTTCTACAACTCACCATTCAATATCATAATTTACAGCTGCAAAAATTCTCTAGTTACGAGTAATTATTCAATCACTAGCTTGTGAACATCGTTTGCCTTGAAAATTGTTTATGCAGTTCTAAATTTGAATATGAAGGCTTTTATTTCTTTAATTCAAGTGGCATTCCCATTATTTTATTTTGAGCGAGATATCTTTGACTATGGATCACATTCAGCTTAACATTACTAATGTTACAGTCTGAGGGTCGGTTCAGTCAGTATCCACTCTTCTAACTCTTTGCAAACAGGATTGGCAGAAAAAAAATGGATGAAAGTACGTAGGGCGCTATATTCTGAAAAGCAGAATTGAACTACTAACAACTTATTTGTGACCATAGGTGACCAGATTGATGTTTAGTTTCGTGTTCCAAAAAGTCTTAGAACAAGGGAAAGAAAGACTCTGAACAGTGCAACCACCAAACATCTCCTTGATACAGGACATCAGGTAGATACCTTACAATCCTTTAGGGTGATTAGTAAGCAGCCAAACTCCAGTCTCCTGAAGTTTGCTGAAGCCATTGCCATCAGGCGTCAAAAACCTGACCTATGTATTCAAAAGGAGACGGTGGTTAATCTTTCCTAGCCCTGGTGACAAATATTCCTTCACTGAACCTTAAATTTTTCTTTTTTCTGTTGCATTTATTACATCATTGATTCTATTTTATTTTTTCAACTATCTTTCAAATTAATAATCCTTCAACTGAACTCTAATCACTATATTCCTATAAATGTTTATTCATTATGTAATCAATTGTTTCTAACCCATTTTTGAACTGTTGTCACAATTAATGTTGTAGAATATTCTTTTACATTAGGTATATATTTACAATATTCAGTAAGCAATTTAAATCCATTATGCAATTATGATTTTTAAATATCACAGGTTGTAAGCAGCTGACGAGAACCTACGAAATAAAATGAATTCATGCTATTCTGCTAGAATCTTTGTTCTTGCTCTTTTCAAAATGATAAAGGGAACTATGTGTATGAAAAATACTGAGAATTCAATTAGTCATCCGTTAATTCAAGCAATCAAACTAATAAATTACGAGTCTTTTTCTTATTTAGTGGAAAATTATTAGCAGAACACTTTATATTTCCCTTGAACAACTAGCCGAGCATCAATTTTATGAATTTGAATGCTTTGGTACTGCTACTTCACCAAATAATACATTTTTCTCAAAAACCAAACAAGGATTTAAATACTTTATTATAATTAGAATACAGTTTTTATCAGAAACACTCATTTCTTTAAAAGCATTATTGTCAGATATTTGGGGTCTCATTCTTGCTCTCATGTTTACATAGTTCAGTAGAATCAACAATAGATGATAAGATAAACAAAGGAATATCAAATGTCTCGTCATTCAAAAGAACCAGATCGTATAATGAACTGAATAATTCCACTTTCTCGTCATTCTGTGAACACAAATAAATAGTAAATTGAATAATCCATAATATACAAAGAATGGATTGAAAAAAATTAGTCATTCATATAGAATACATTAATTAAATTACAATTTTTTCCTTTAATTTAAAGAGATATGCGCATTCTAAGGTAATGGTTTACCAACATCAGGAAGCCCGAATAGTTATATTTTCGACTCAGTCCAATTACAGTATATATATATCATAGTAAACTCTGCCAATTACTAGTGACTAATTTACATGGAGTGAATGCTTTATTTTGAAATGTGTAAAGGGCACTACCGTTTAACGAACTAAAAGCACATTCAACGGAAAAGTTCTATATGGAATATAATGCTTTTAATTACAAACACTATTACCATAAATAACAATAGGAATCTATGTGAACTCTAACTCAAAATCGACACGACAACAAGACATAAAATCCATGCTACGCCTTAGAATTACCGTATTGTTAACACTGTGATAGATCCAACTCTTCGCCCTACGCTCTGCATATCTGGTTGAATAAGTATTAGGAAACGTGTACTAGTCACTGAACTACACTGTTAGAACACAAAACAATATTCAGTCTTATAATGGAAATAAATTAAATAGATAGTGACAACAAAGAGTTCTCATAATCAATATTTTATGTAATAGACCAATTAGAAATCCTGCGTTCCCAAAACATTTGTTCATAATAAGACGACCAAATTGTTAAGTAACAAACTTACTTGATTAAAAAGCAACATATAAAGGTTTGCGAGTTTTAAAGAACAATGCCGATAACAGTATCAAGAAGCTTCTTAGTATAAATGACTTACACCACGATAATATCAGCGCAAAAATCAGTGATAACGGATAAGTACAAGTTTGTCACATATCATGCGATGGTAAGAGGTAGGTATTAACCTCCTTAAATTCAAGTGCTTAAATCGTTGAACCATATGTCTTCAAATGAGAAATAATGTAACTACTATAAAAATATCTCCAAAGTAAACTGTAAATGCTTACCACACTGTTATAACAATAACTATTTTATCAAAGGCTGTTTTAAAAAGTCGAAAAGAATTAAACATGACTTGAACACACTATGTTACACAAGATAGAATTCTTTCGCAAATTCTGGTTATATTTACACCTTCTTAACCATTGAATACAAATTAGAAAGTCAGTTGAGTAACATCAGGATTATTAGTTAATTTTATTGAATTTAAATATATAGAGAGATTAATTTCAAGTTAATATTTCATTTTTATTTTCATTATTTTATGAGCCTTGAGTAAAAACACCTCACCTGAAAGGAATGAGTCTCTATTCATGTTTGATTTAACACCAGATTAGTCGAAAACTGAACATTGTTTTAACTACAGTCTCGAATCATCAATACAATGTATCAGTGGAACATATCTCGAATTACTGAAGTTTTGAAGATATCTTACATATGAACTTCAACAATCCTATGAAATTAAATCAAACGTTTTTTTACTACTTCTCTCAAATTATAGATACAGACAGTTTTAATATCAATAGCTGAAATCCACGTTCACAAGAAATTTACAAAAGAATAGATTCGATTTGTAAAAGGATATTGAGCCTAAAAATACTTACTTTTTCATTTAAAAATCCTATACGAATAACTATAACTTGTTCATAAGAAAACTTTTCCCCATCATCAATCATCTTTGCATCATTAGTTGAGTCACCAATAAGCAGAATGCAAAGTCTTTTCGACAGAATGGTTTCAAAATATTCAGAATTTTGTATTACATTATACATTTTATTAAGAGAATGAATAACAGGATCTTGAAATCCAACCAAACGACCCTAAAACAATACATTTACAGGTATCTTAACATTAAAAGACGATGTGATTCATAGAGACTAAAATATATAAATTATTAAATAGTAAAAGAGGACATCAAAACGACAATACTACTTTAAAACTATGCTGGAAAAAAGGTTCCTGTACAGTTTATAAAAATAAGGATTGAATAGCTAGTATGAAAAGAGACAAATTTTGAATCAACGATGTATTAAGGATCTAAAACCCCATAGAAATTGTAACTATAAGAAAAGTTTGTTATAATCACAACACTTACTGTTGTTTGTAACTATAACACCACTCCAGTAACATGGTCGTGTACATAAAAGTTACAATGATGTACAGTTTAAGTACAAGAGTAATAAATTATCGTTTTTGAAAACAATTACTATGCAAATAAAGTTTAAAACATGTCTGTTAACAAGAAAAGTTGTGGTTTTAAAACGTCAAGATATCCGAGGCAAGAATTCCTACTTGCTAGCTACACTTGTTAATTAGATAACAGTACTTTATGACGAGTTCAAATCTACAAACTGGATATTACTAAGACAGCAAGGTATGGTAAAACCTAACTTGTTTTACTGCAGTGGGTCAAATGGACTAGACCTCGGATAAATGTAACGAATTCAGAAAATCAGGGTAGGAGCTACGCTTCAAATGTGAGAGTTAATGATCCTGCCCAGTTTCTCAAAGCGGCATTGGTGTGGTGGCTTTCGAGCCTGGAAATTTCAGCTGTTACTGAAGGAGTCTAATGTAGTGCTCTTTTTTCTACAGATGTAGGATGTACTTATTATTTATTTAAACACATAAACATAGGTACAAGAAGACACTAAATAGATATGCGCCACACAAATCATTCGATTTACGTGAGGGCTAGGATAATGCCCAGATGCCCAAACCGAAGCAGGTGGTTTTTTGGGGGGCCACACCCGAAGCCTTCATCCTAAAGGTCTAATCCACAAGGTAGTGGAGCAACGTAAGGAGATGCAGTTGCATAGTAGTCGGTGAGCAACGACTGGTTCATACGCTATTTGTTCCCTTAGGATACTGAAGCTCATGTGCACCACTGGTTTGGAATCAGGGTTTTCCGACTCCCCTAGGTGAACCCTCCGCGTCCACCAACCCGGTTAAGGCGCCAGACACTCACTCTTCGTCCTCTAAATTTCGTAAACAATACCCCCGCCGCGAGAAGGCAGTGAGTAGGACTTTACTGGCAGTGGTTGTATGCACGTGGCTATGTGAGAGCATTTCGGTCGCACCAGGGCATTTGGGGGCAGATGTGGGATGTGATTGTTATTGTTGAATAAAATAAAGAAACTCTAACCAATCCTAGGTAATCAAGTCCAACTCTTTACAGAAGTTAGGGGCCAGGATAACTGCATTAGTACTTTGTGTCATTAGAATACTTAGCATTTGTTATATCCTAGTGAAGATTAAATTACGGGTAACTTCTGAGAACTATTAATGGACTAATATTATACATATTCCTATTGTATAATTGTTCAGTAGCTAGATTATGTATATCTATATTCCTCTTATTATAAGTTTCATTTTGACCTATAGATCATTATTATACGATTTACTGTTCTTAAGTTATGTTCAGTTCATTGATTACAGTCTCTCATGTTCACAGTCACTCTTTAGCTTGATCTTGTATAAATATTATTTCCTATTTTATTGTGTGATGAGGTCTGTTTGGCTGGTATATAAACCAAGTGTGTTTGGAATAAACGCTCTGCACAGTGGAAGTCGTTAGTGGCGTTCTGGACTCAACTGGACGGGCTAGGAGAACAAAGGACCAATAGAGACGCTAGACTGCTCATACCGGTCGAACGTCATTGGTCTAGAACAGTACTAATATTGAATAAGTCGTATTTCGATTAGCGAATAAATCACCCGATAACTAGCTGGCCTTAAAAACAGAAGAGCATCTATTGACAGAATCCGAACTTTTGAAGGATAAAATAAGTGAGAAACCAGTAAGAACTGTTTAGATTGTTCCAAGAAACAGTTCGTCCACTATCTAATCCTTTATTCACGCAGCTTCTCCTCTTGATAATAATCTCCCAAACTGTTGGGGACTATAGATCCCCAAAACTCATATTTTGTAATTTCATCTTATCGATTAAATGTTAAATATTTGAAGGGATGTCGATTGATGAACTTGTCGATTAAATATTTGAATGCCTGTCGATTGATGAACTTATTGATTAATGTTTAAAAACATTTTACTATGACAATGTCGATTGTAAATATTTGTATAAATACGCTTGACTTGTGTGCTTGACCTGACCTGGTATCTGCTGTTTGCCTGTAGAATACACTTCCTACGCCTTACAAAGATTTCTTGATCGCGTTAGCTGAGTCGGGGACAACGAACCAGAATAGTCTATCGAGATTCTGAGTCTTTTGATCCGATCGATAAGTCACTGCCCTCTAATCGGCGGCCCTTTGAGATATAACACAAACACCGTATGTATTGGAGATTAATAAAACATAATGTATATCTACGATTGTCTAAATAAGTAGAGGTAACTAAGCCCTTATATACCCATATAGCTTCAAGTTCGCTTACCAGCCAATTGTGTTAGATTATCAAGGGGTAATCAGACAATACTAATTATGAAACCTATCAAAAGAATATTAATCCTTACTTCAGGATTGAAGTCCATAAAATTTGAAACAACACGAACATTTTCCAAGGATACACCTGACGATGTCAGAACTGTCTCTATAACATTTCCTATGCCTCCAGAGAATATAATTAGTGGTATGCTGAGTTCAGCCAACTTATTTACAAAATCAGTTGCATTATTCCTAAAATTAGTGTTGCGGTTAAAATTGGACAAAAGAATGAAATTTAAAGAATATATAAATAAGCAAATTTAAGAATAATCAAATTGAAAGCGATTTGAACTTTAATATACTAGTTAACGTCTGGATGATTTAAAACTTGGAAAACCGAACAACGAATAAATTAACTAAAAAACAAACGTGATATTGTATGTTTGAGGAAGTATTTATTTCGCGATGTGTTTGAGAACATAATTCCACAAACCAAAACACCATAGTTCTTAAACATACCATCGAATGAAAATGTTCAATTAGATAATGAAATAACGCCTCAGTTGACCAAATAGTACCTCTGAATATTAAGTTGTAAATCTAACCAGTAGTGAAAAGTGTGCACAGAGAACATCATATTTTTAGTAAAGCTTAATTAAGAATCTAGTTGGGTATGAAAATCAACTATCAGTATACTGACATACCGAATTCCAAAATTAAAATTTGTCTCAGAACTTGCTTTAAGATAACCAAGGTATCACAAATAAAGTTTCGCGATATTCTAACCCAACAGACAAACATTTTAGTCTTCCGAATTTATTCACTTTTCGCCATTGTATGTCATATTTGTAGTTGATTTTAAGTTTCAATTACTCTTGTCAATTATTCCGTTTATATTCTTACCTTGCAGTACAGCAACCTAAGCAGATGCACTGTTAACTGATTTCTTTGAACGCGAAATTGATGTGGACAGAAAAGTATGTTTTTGTAAGACTATAAATATACTTTCAGTGTACTATTACTTTGGTTTAAAGGTTGATAAGAAAAATGAAGCAGCAAGCTACTCTTTTTATTTACACGATCAAGATATTCTCTGAAATTAATACCGATATCTTCTAAGTTAGATGTTAGTTCTGTACGTTACTTTGAGTCAGTCAGTCAGCTACAACGTAGGACCAGGCACATATGTGCATTGGTCCAGGTTGCCATACCGCATCAGCACAACAAGATGAACACCAGATTCATAGCAGTGGTTAGATCAAAGGTGGTAATATATAAGAGAAAGATTGCATATAGAGATATAGTACAAGAAGGAAGAATTGGTTCGTAGAAAGAAAGATATGAAGTGATTTTAATCTCTTAGTTTAAGGGAAGATAGAGAGTGTATACACCGACGCCATTGTGATCGATTCTGAGCCATGTCACCAAGAGTCTCCAACCATTGGTTACTTTGAACCAAACAATGTCAGTTAATGTGAAGAATACTGTAACCAAATTATTCGTAGTACAACATCGCAATTTGTCAACTATGTAAGCGATTCCTCGATGTATGTGAACAAGTTCACAGATTTATTGTCAACATAAAAGGATAGGTACGTACTGTACGTTTAAAGGGTTAATTTTTAACATCAAACCGAATAAATCCCAAGATGGGCTAAAATAAATGCATTTCTTAGGTAAAAAAAAATACCAATTTAACTAACGTTTAAATCAGTTTTTAAATTGGCAGCTTCTTAGTTCATCGACAACTCGAATGGATCAACGACTTCGGTACAACATTCTGAGGCTTTTTGATAAATGTTTCAATGAAGACTGACATAAATAAAACCCCATACATGTTTGTGCTTAAAACAGAGATTTATAGCGGTATGAATGTTAAATACCACAGCCAACGTTTTTAAGATACTACTAGTCAGAATACAGTAAGTTACAAATGCTTGGAATGTAAAATAGTTATCTTTACTTTTGTGACAAAGAATATTCATGAGAATTCGAACACAGTATCTGGCTTTAATCTTCTAGCTCTTTAGAATCAAGGAGAAATTTGACAGAGTTTAATTATGTCAACCAAGAAAAAAATAGTATTTATGTGAATGAATAAGTCTTTTTTATTGGGAGGGGCGTGCAGATGCAAGGAAAGAGTATATGAGCGAACTATTACAGCAAGACGCAACGAATGGAGCGGGTACTGACTTTTATCTTGAGAAATAATACTTTTGAAAGCCCACTCAATATACGTGTTAGTAAACGTTTTAGTCAAGTGAATAAAGGTCAGAAATATCTAGTGAGTTGCGTACTATATATAAATTCTTGTGAGCACTTAAAAAAATATAGATGCACAACTGACTTTTGTGACAACTTAGACGACACTTTTATGTTCACATTTTATTTCATTCAAGCTATTGTTGAACTGATTGTAAGACCTTAATTACTTTTAGTCGTCTGTGTCATTAAGAAATTACATTAACTAATGCAGCACCTTCTGTTTGAATGAATGTAGGCAACTTAGATGACTTATACGAATATTCGTCAATATCTGAACGAACAGTTTGATAGAAATTGAGCGCCAAGTATATAAAATATATTATTTGTAAAAATTATATTTGAAACAATCTAAGAATCTAACAATTAAATAATCCCAGCACTACGTCCAAAAACCTTACCTGAATGTCGTCACGGTAATAATTAATATCAAAATTATCAAAAAAAATATAACGTCTGACAACCAAACCTAAACTAACAATTTATCAAGACATTCATTTTGTTCGGTAGGAAAATATGAATTAGTAAGATGTGAATAATGTGGAAAGTTATAAATGTGAGAAAGAGTGAATGTGTGTATGTGTACCTTTCTGTTATTACTATTCAATATTTGATAAATCCAACACTTTCCTATAATTAAAGATAGGTTATTCATTTTGTGTATTAAAATAAAAGTAACAGTACAAATTGAAGTGCTTTTAAACGTCAGTGTGTATATAACACGGGAATAACTAGATACTTAGTTGTGATGTTAAAGCATACATATTAACTTTTGTCAGAATAAAGCTACATGTGCCATAATTAAGGTAGATAGAGATAAGGTCCAGTTACTCGTTAATAAACTTTGGTTAAGAGCTGACTAACTAAATTTCATCGTTCTTGTTCAGGTTGTTTTTTGTTGTTGTTGATTAAATGATTACTTTTGGAAATCTATTGAACGTTGAGTTAAGTGTATACAATGTCTACTACAGAACTCTGATGTAGGGCAAGAGCGCAAAATATGACGGTGATGCAAACCATTTTAACCAAATACCGTTGGCCAAAGTGTTTTAGTTCTTTACACTACTTAGAACCATGCTCATTCATAAACACAGCCACCATCTGAAGTCAACAAACGACAGATGTACTACTACCACCACTATAGTGATTACAAATGTGCATAAGCAGATTTCGGTTCACATGATCAGTTCTCGGAAGATATTGTATTAATTACTATAACAAGTGTTACTGGGTCAGTGGATGTACCAATCTACTGAGAATGAAGAAATCCTTTTTAAAAATCACTTGACCAAATGCAGAATGGATGCGTTAATTATCAAATGACTAATCTATTTGTTAATTATAACTTTTTAAATGTTTTATATGTTTTCGCGTACGTAGTGTCGAAACCTACTCCTACGAGCACGCACTTGCGTCCCACAGTGTGAAATAGTGATAAAAGCACGTTAAAAGTCAGGACCGACCTTAAGACTATTCCACCTTCCAAAACACAACCATCAATATCACTTCGAGATAGATTTCCATCAACCAATGCTTTATGGGCCAATTTCCAAAATTCCATCATGAGTGACAACTTCTCGCACTCATATATGCCGCAAGACGTTTCAAGCGGTAAATAAAGGCCCAGAAGCTCTTTGAGCTAGGAAAATAAAAATTGAAGACCTACTTACCCGTAATCTAGATGTCTCAGGAATTCTAGGATTTTTCATGAACAATTCTTCCATGTTTACTGTATTATCTCAAACAAACAAGAATTACCATGACAAACAGGAACCTTCTCAGAATTGTGAATGTATTTGGACAATGTGTGATCAAAATCACAAACAACCTCACATTAATATTTACAGAGATTTCTTACTTGCATATTCTTCGGTCCATAACGTATGAAATCTACTAGTTTATTCACTATTCTGGGACTAACATGGATCAGACGATGATCTTCAAACTATACGCAGAATATGAAATAATAAGGTTACCATGGATCCTAACGCATTGTAAATACGACTCGCAAGGACATTGCAACCGCATCTGTCCTCCAAGGTCATGAGTTTGGAAGACTGCGAAGGCCATATGTGAACTACTAAAAAGACAGTGGAGACAAAATGGTACATGACATCCATCAATCTCATAATGTTATTCTACATCTCCTCAGATTATCTTGTATTCTGTTAATTTTTTTGGTTTCGTCAATTAATCGTGATTCTTAATAGGTTGATTCAGGTATATCTTGTTCATAAATTCAATTTCAGTTTGGAAAGCACACGAGGCAAGATGACCTGTAATAGTCATGACAGTGGTGGTCTCTCAGTTGATTTAACTTTCTTTTGAAAGAGTCGTTACTCGTCACGTTGTTTCAGGTATGAATGAACAGTTGGTGTTTAGGGGCACTCTATCTGGACACTGTGGGTGGGTCACACAGATAGCGACGAATGCTACCCAACTGGATCTTCTTGTTTCAGCTTCTCGAGATAAATCTCTCATTGTTTGGGACTTGAGGCGAGAATCTGGTGAATATGGAGTATCTGTAAGGTCTTTACATGGACACAATCATTTTGTCAGTGACGTGGTTATGTCATCCGATGGGTTATATGCTTTATCATGGTTGTGGGAAAGCACATGAATCACGTGTAATGAATTTCACACGCTGATAATTCGATGGGAAAGTTGATAGTCACCCGACGTATAATTTGCTCTGGGCTTGTGAACATTCTTGGAGTTTTTTCGTAAATTCTCTGTTTTGGAAAGCAAGTGCGAATTTATCACTAATTGATTTGAAAACTGTAATCAAGTTACATCCAGTTCTTCGAGATGACAGTGGAAATAGGTTTAGTTTGGCCAGTCGAGTATCGTATGGGAGCATCGCCATTTTTGAAATCGGCTTAATTACTGTTCTCTCGAACTTTTCCAAAAGCTCACAGTCTTTGTTTGAGAAGAGGCTAGCCACTTATATGCAGTATTCAAGTTAAGGACGCACTAACACTGTATATAAAGTCAAAAAAGTTTTAGTGTCAACATGAATAAAAGATGTCAAAGTAGGTTAGCATTGACTTGGTGGACATAACCTATTCTTCTGCTGACATGTTCACACTACTCAATCTAGTACATGCTAATATTGGCCTAACAGTCTGAGTTACGTTTGGAGTTGCACAATAACCGACTGGTAACATGGTCAAAATTCGGTCTCATTAGTAAGGTTGAAGTTATTCTTAATATATTTTGAAATCTTTAGATGGGTATCATTTCATGCCTGTAATTCTTGAATCTATTCTTGTGCAATAACATTTCCGACTGATCTAATATTCCCCATCCAACGTTCATTATTCCGTTGATCTGCTATCACTGTGCTTATCTAAGCTGTTGCAACATTGGTTGACTCTCATTCGTGCAACTTTCTACGTCAATGATCACCGAATTACTAGCTTGAATTTCACACTAAGAAGACGTGAAGCATAAAGTGTGAGGGTCATAAATGTTTGATTAATAATGAGTAGTTTGTTAAATATTATCTAATAAAAGTTGATTGAGTGGTAATCTGTGTGCATCACTGATTCGCCATTAGTATCGTGATTATTAACTTCAGTAATGCTAGTGTTGCTCTTAATTTTGTTAAAATTGGTTAACGGTTACTCATCTTGTCACGTTTGCCTTATCATTTTACATTATGTTATGTATTTCAATCGAAGCTATTGTATTAAAAACCCAAACTGATGGATGGTACTTGAATGATATTTCAGATCCCAACAAAATCACCAACATTTCATCTTATTTAAAGTAAGCATCCATGTAATCCCGTGGAAGTATGTCACTTAATTAAACATCACTGATCAGCCTCAAGTAATAGAAAAACAGAACTACTAATGCTGAACATCATACTTGCAAAGAGAACACAGGTCCTTTGATTTATTTTGATAATTGAGAGTATTCGAATTATAGTTCGAGCTAAGAATCCCAGAAATAACGCTATTTCGACCAAGAAGAACTGGGTGGGCACGAACGTGCGTATTGTATTTGCAGTTTGAAATTAGTCAGTCATGAACTACAAAGGAATCGTCATTTCACAAAATTAACATATCCGCCAAGGCATAAATTGGAGTCTCAGTGTCTGTAACCGATTAGACATCTCCTTAAGTTCATCATATATCTGTCCGACAGTGTGCTGGATGTAGATTCTGTATTATCCAGATTGTACTCGTTAGTATTGAAATTAACAACAGGAATTGAAACAGACTCACACGATTCCTGGAACTGTATTTGATCTACATATCGGTTGTGTGTATTGACATCATTAATATCGAGAATTCACACAGTAGATTTCCCGACATTCTTCAGCACAATCCCCGTCGCTGGTCGAAGATCATTTCCACGATAATGTGTACCTTTTGCAGACTCTTAACTCTTCATATTCGAACGAAGAGTGTTTCCTCTTAACAGCTTTGGTGAAGTCTTATTCGTCGGAGGATGTTTAGCATTTCTATGCTGCAGTAGAAATGTATCTTCTTCCCTCTCCAGTTCATTAAATGTTGAGGTGGCAATAGAATCAATATCAGCTTTCAATGTCCTGACAAACTTTTCTGCCTGATCATTAGAATAAGGGTGACTAGGAGCAGTAAACAGATGTCTGCACCCTATACAACTCAGTCATGTAGTGACTACATCTGCAGCAAAACGAGACTCATTATCAACCATTAACACCATGGGAACCCCTCCTCGACCAATCACCTTTCATAATCCTCAGATTGTGAAGTCAGAATTCGGTGAAGTTGTGAAAAAACTTCAGGCGATTTCGAACAAGAATCAATGACTGTAAGTGCATAATATTTGCAAAGAAATGAACTGCAATGGTCTGCATGAATTCTCTGTCAGGCCTCGAACAATACTGGCCATGGAGTACACTTTGATAAATGACCATTCAACTTATGATATTTCACACAATTGTTTGTTGTACGACATATGTCTGCGGTTATCACCAGTTCTCAGCATGTGAGCCTTGTCAAGGACTTGATATTCGCGACACCCAAATGGCCACTTTGAAGATCTTCAAGGACAGATTCACTTAATGAATCATGAATAACAACATGATCACTCAAAAAAAATCAGGAATAGTGGATAGATCATCCCTCTTTGCAAAATAGACAGGAAATCTATGCTTAAGATTGGCATTCCAACATTCCCGTATGGCACTGAATATATATCCAAAGTATTACCAAGTTTCTCCAATGAGATCTGGACGTCATACCGGAAAGGGTTGCACTAAACAAGAGTCTGAAGTATTGAAAGGTCTGTCATGTAGTGCTCGTCGAGATATACAGTCAATATGTTGGATTTTTTGACACTTCTCTACCAAATCGTATGGTCATTGACGCTCACAGCACTACTCCATCGTTGAACCATCCCGACTGAGAAACGTGCTAAGGATTTTTCATGATAGCAAATAAACTCTAAAGCTTTGTGTTTCTTAAAAATAGCGAATTTCTTTCCGAATAAATATTTGTGAAGTCCTTTAACGCCTCAAAATACATCTAATGCTTCTTGTTGAGTTTGTGAATAACCTTGTTCAGTGATAGTACGTTTGCGTGAAACACAGAAAACTGGTTTACTCCTCTGCTCCAAAACAGTACTAATACCCACAGTTGATGCATCAGCAATAAATACATGATTTGAACTATGTGATGAGTAAGTTTGAAGAACTGCATCACTTTGAAGATGTTGGGGACGGTATATCCCCAAAATTCATATTTGTAATTTTATCATATCGATTAACTTATCGATTAAATGTTTAAATATTTAAATGAACGCCAAATGATGAACTTATCGATTGGATATTTGAATGCCTGTCGATTGATGAACTTAATGAGTCATGTTTAAAAAACATTTTACTATGACAAAATCGATTATATATATTTGTATATATACTTTTTTAATTGTGTTTGTGTGCTCGCTCGTTTCTGGCTGTTTGCAGAATATATTTTCCATACCAAGCTTGGACTTCTCCTTCTAGATAGCGAGGCTGGGACGCATCAATAGCTAGATTACTGGTCTTTGGTCACTGAGTCTTGTTCTCGTTCGCAGATTAGGTGAACTCGTGAAGCTTCGAACCTAACAGAAGAAACGTTACTAGACTTCGCAAGCATGACTCTTGTTCCTCATCCCATTTAAATGACTTTGTTGTCAAAATATTAAATAAACAATTGACACGACAAGAAATATCAGGAATAAAACGGGAATAGTATTGAAGAGTACCTATTAGTGAACGTAATTCTCTAAGATTGTTTGGAGACGGTGCATTTGTCAGTGGAGCTAGATGTTTCGTATCTGGTTTAAAACCATTACTATCAACTAGGTATCCAAGACTTTTGGAACTAAACACACAAAATGGACATTTATTTGTATTCACCTTAACATTCTCCTCAATTAACGGACGCAATAAACCAACAGGTCTCTAGTCATGAACTACCTCATCAGAACCATGAACAATGAGACCATCTTGATGACCTTCAACACCTTCAAGAGCACTAACTACCTTATTCATAACTTCCTGAAATATAGCTGGAGAACCACTTAACCCAAATGGAAGGAAATTGTATTTGAGCAGGCCAGAAGGAGTGTTAATTGTCGTCAAAATAGATGAAGGTTGATCTAGAGGGATCTGAAGATAAGCATCTTTCAAGTCAACTTTCGAGAACACTTTGGAACAATGAAGTCGATTTAGAATATCGTCAGCCTCTACTATCGTGCACGTTTGCTTCAACAAACAGGAGTTCAATGTTTGTCTATAGTCACCACATATTCTAGGGGTTTTGCCATCCGACTTCAGTGGCGTAACAATAGGATTACCCCGATGCTGAAGCCTGAATCGGTTCAATTATACCTTTCGCACACAAATCGTTTAGAGTCTCATGTACTGCTTCTAGAAGACCATAAGGAATTATTCGTCTTTCAAGAAAGACTTGATCACTTGACGTTTTATGGGCTGAATTCTCACACCTCTACTGTACTTGGCACAAGCAGATATCAAATCTTTAATTAAAGCATCAGACGTTTATTTAGAAACCTG